TCATATTGAAGGTTTAATTTTAAGATTATTTGCACATAATTCAAATAATCCAAATCATAATTTAATATGGTTTATACCGCGAATCACACGGGTACTAAAACTAGTACCATTTAATAGGAAAAAACCTTAAAAGTTCTCAAGCATCCAAATGTGGTCAGATTATATCAGGTACGTCGAGTTTTATTTAGCAATAATCATACCATAATATGTCCTTTTTGTTATAAAATAGTTGCAGAGTTTTAACCAACTGATGTAGATTATGAATTTTGACCGTTCTCAAACTTTATTCAATGACACATTATACTAATTCGATATACTAATTAAAACTACTAATTATGTAAACTATGATAATTACTTGATATTTATTCAATAACTAATACGAATAAGTAAAATAAAATAAAATCAAACAACTCAATCATCTTTAACTACGGATTTATCAGCGATCAAGTGGTCTATTTTTTCATCAGGGCGCTCAAAAAAGTCTGTCACATCTAAGTGGGTGATGTAGAATTCATTGTCATAGACAAAATTAGCTTCAAGACATTTATTCTTTAGAGATGCTTGATAAAGCTCAACCAAATGTCTTGGTACACGATATTTATGGATCTTGCATATAATCACATTGCCAAAATATTTTGGCGTATAATAGGTACGTCATCAATGACCATTCATGCCATAATAATAAAATTATTTTCCTATTTCATCTCAAACCTCCTTTTAGAGGTGAGTGTGATATCTTCACTACCACTAGCACGTTCATATTCTTCCAAGAATGAATATGTATTCATAAATCAGATGTTGTCACATTCTCATCATGAATGGAACATAATCATCAATATGTGCTTTACAAAATCTCATGTCAAATCGATGACAAATATAACTTTCAAATAGTGAAAGATTATTTTGAGAATTCTTATTATTCTCATTATCACAAATATGACGATTATAATTTCGTCTATTATCACGTCCACATCCATTGATACCTTCACGGTAATAATTTGTCTTCTTTCAGACTTATCACATATTGCTATCACATTCTCTTAAGGGGAATGAGAATGAAGTAAATTCTACGGGACGAGTTTCCACTTCTTTGCCCACAATCATACATGAATTTGATCATGGCAAGACATAGAAATTTTACCATTTTGGTGGTTATAATTTCTTGCGAACTCTATAGGAGTTATAATCAAAGTTTATTATCTTTGCTTGCATTTAAAATCAAATATAGAATTTCAAGAATTTAAAAGAGAAAAATAAAGTAAAATACTTACCTTAAATCCAGAATTTAATCATGAAGAAAGTTCATGGAGAATTGACAATCATTATGCTCAATCTCAAAGCTTCTACTCAATTGATTAGAGTCTCGTGCTGATAACGTGTTATGAAACAATAAAAGAACAATAACAATATTGCAGAGAAAGAGAGAGAGGGAAATTCTTATTGAATTGGGATGATTTACAATGGAATAAAACCCCTCCATTTATGGGGGAAAAATAACTTAACCACCAAGTAACAAACCCTAGAATCTTTCTAGAATATAGACATTCACCGTAAATAGAATTCTATTTATAGCAACAAATATATAGTGGGCTTCTAATAAACCGTTTATAGGGCCGGGCTGTAATGTTAACACCCAAAAATGGCATCGCTTAGAACCACCACAAACTTTCTCGTCCGGGAAATTTTCCGTCCGTCAATACAGTTGTCAACTGTTCGATTCATCCACATCCCGCCGGCGCCATTTCCGGCGACGAGCCTTGTTGTGAGTCATCGTCTTTTACTACGCACAATCTCCTATAGTCCCGTCAGGTGCGCGGCGGCATCTGACGGCGGTGCCGCCGATGGAAAGAAGTCGCCGGCGCGGCTTGCTCAGGTTAAGCAGCTGTTAAATGAAGCCACGGAACGAGCTCAAGCTGCCGGCAATGATCCTATCCCTAAGATTACAATTGGTATTTCAATTGCCTCTATTTGAATTTCACACCTTTCCAGTTCCAACTTTCATTTACGTCCACTGAAAATGCCTGAAAGTTATATCTTAAAATGAAGTAACTGTAGTATAAGAAGTACAGTTATATTTTGAAATGAAGTAACTGTAGTGTAAGAAGTACATGGTAAATAATTTGCACTTTGGGGTCGTTTGGTTCGGAGATGCGTTATGCTGGACTAATTATGCAGGTATTAGTTATGAAGGGATTAATTATGCAGGTATTAGTTATGCAAGTATTAATTATGCAGGTATAGTTATGCTGGAATTAAAATATAGGAATTATTTCTTTTTGGAGGTTTGAGTTGTTTGGCAACTGAAATAAAACATGCCTTGGGGATGATTGTAACACCTTATATCAATTTACTCAATTTTAATATGTGTACTAAAATGAAAAGAATAATGGTGTTATTTATAATAGTGATTAATGAAGTTTAACACTTCAATCCAACAGATGTCCAGATTCATTTTGATCTATGACCGATATGCGAACATGTTTCAATATTGAAAACAACAGTAATATGATTTTTTTCTATATGTACTATTTACTGATTTTGTGTCCTATGAAATCCTAAAAGCACTAGAAAGGAAAAGAAATGAATTAGAAGTGTTGATCATTATAAAACAAAAGTATTCGGAAGCATGCATGAGTAGGGATGGCAATGGGGCGGTGTGGGTGCGGTGCGGTTCGGGTTTAGACACATGCGAGCGGTGCGAGTTTAAACATATGTGAGTGCGAGGCGGGGCGGGGCGGGGCAGGTCAACATAAAAAGAAATTAATCTATGCGGGTGCTGGTTTAAAAACTTCATCGAAAAAGGAACTCGTTTTTTTGACTTTCTAAAGATGAAATTGATTAATATATAGCAAAATAAAGTTTCATACTGTATAAACTTTGAACCCAATGTTTGCACGTCAAGTTCGTATTCTTTTATGACAAGTTCTGATAATGTGATATCTAACACATAATTATTAATTGATTATAGATCTATTTTATTGATAAATCGTAACTCGAGATTTTGATATGTTAAGATCATGATTTGATCTTACTTACTCTGAGTAAATATAGTATACTGACTTGATCTTCCTCTTAGTAAATTATAGTAATATGTCTTATTTTCACTTTTTCCCCCGCTCATTCTTGCATATACATAAAAGCAAATTAATCAATAATCATTATAGTCACAAATCTTCGTGATACAATTTGAAAAGAATATTTTTCGATGAGAAAAACAACTCAATGTTCAAATTGAACAGTTTAATAACCAAATGTAGAATTACATAATATAGATCTATGGCAACTGAGCTGTAGAGCTACTCTAACTGTACAATGTGTTTAATATGTCAATTATTGCATATGACCCCATAGATGGCAGATCTTGATTTTTGCACTTGGCCTCAAAGAAATATAATACTTATAAAGTATGGTAAAAAGCAAAAATAAAAGAGAACACTTAAAACTAACAAAATGAAGAAAAAACAGTTATGCGGGGCGGGGTGGGCGCGGGTGCAACTGCTATGCGGGGTGGGTTGAAATTTTGCGGTTTAAGAGAAAACCCGCCCCGCATTCACCCCGCACCGCTTGCCATCCCTATGCATGACGGTATTTTTGTCACTTAATTGGTTTAATCCATGTATTATTTAATACACGTATTCTTATTCCATATTCTATCTTGCATAAAATAATACAAAAATTTCCCTCATTATTGTATACAAGTATTGTTTTATACGGGTATAAAAAAAGAAAAAAACCTAATCAAATGTTGTATTAGTTGTGCAAGATTTATATGGAATTCAAAACATCAACCAAACATTGCGGGTGGATTTTATACATAAGTATACACGAATTAATGTATAAGGAAGGAAAACCAAACAACCCCTTAGTGTTTACACCAAATTATATAATTTAACCTTAGCAGCTAAAAACTAAAGCGAGAATACACATAACTTAACCATGATTAAGCGATTGTGTGTATAAAAGTCAACAACAACAACAACAACGACCCAGTAAAAACCCACAAGTGGGGTCTGGGGAGGGTAGTGTGGTCCCAGACGTTACCTCTACCCCGCTGGGGTAGAGAGGTTGTTTCCGATAGACCCTCGACTCAAGAAGACGAAAAGAGACAACATATTAGTATCATAAAAAAAACCCATAGAAATAATAACATCACAAGAACCAGTGAATAGATGGAAAATAGAAATAATAACCAGTAAATAAGGCCCTACACTATGAAAACGGAAGAGTAGTGTAAACACAACACTGACCACTAGCCGTCTAAGACTAAATCGTAGCAGCGTAGCATCACACTGGTAGATTAAATATGCTCAACTACCTCCTAACATACAGCCTTAATGCTCGACCTCCACAACTTCCTATCGAGTGCCATGTCCTCGGAGATCTGAAGCCTTGCCATATCCCGCCTGATCACCTCTCCCCAATACTTCTTAGGCCACCCTCTACCTCTCTTCGTACCCACCAACGCCAACCGCTCGCACCTCCTTATCGGGGCATCCAAGATTCTCCTCTGTACGTGCCCGAACCATCTGAGCCACGCTTCCCGCATCTTGTCATCAATAGGAGCCACGACCACCTTCTCCCGAATATCTTCATTCTTAATTTTATCCATCCTAGTGTGCCCATACATCCACCTCAACATCCTCATTTCTGCTACTTTCATCTTCTGGATATGTGAGTGTGTATAAAAGTCAAATGGCTCGCATTTATTAGTCTGGTCTAAATATCGGGTGCGGGCAAATTTTTACCCGAGGTACAACCATGAAGTGGATTTGGCACTTCTTCTTTTTTTTGAATGAAGTAGATTTGGCACTTAAATTTAGTTGGTGTTATTACGGATTGGGCACTCCAATTAGTTATGATTGAGACATAATTGATTGATTGATATTCTTTCACTTTTGTTTCTCCATATAGGGATACTTGATAATAATTATATAGGGTTAAGCAAAAGTAGTGTTTTCTTACTTGCTGATTGCATATCAAATGGCATTCTGGAAAATAATTTTGTAAAGTGTAAATATATTACCGTACAAGTGATGTCCGCATGACTATGCTATAGTGGCATGACTTGGAAGATAAAGTGACCGGTTTCATCAAATGAGTTTTGTGTTATGCTGAGAATGTTACTTCTTCAGAGGCTCTTTTTGGTTTTCGGTTAGGGTCTGGAGTCTTTGGTGACTTAGTCTTCGAATTATCGGGGATTCAGCAGAGTAGATATTGAGGAATTTGTATGTGATGTATAGAGCTGTAGGTAATAAGGAAATTTGTCTAGAGTAGCTACAAATGTTAAAATGCTTTTGACTGCTAGAATGGATAGTCTAAGCTTTGGTGGGTAGAGTTGCTCGGTACATGTACTGGTGAGAGATAGCAAGTACGTAGGGAAATAGTTGGGGTGCGCGCAAAGAAAGAAAAAATATGTATAGCTTAATATTAATGTCAAAGACTATGGGGATAGTGATCAAATCACATGTAGAGTAGGAGAGTAGAGACTACTGCCAAATTTGAATTTATTCTGGAGTCCCTTGTTAATTCTTAGGACAGAAGTGGTTGTAGCAGCTACAATATGAAATTGCTTAAGGTGGCTCTTCTACTCATCGAAGAGCTGAAAATCTCTTGGACTATTCTGATATTCATCAAAAGCTTTCTTTTTCATGAATATTTTCTCAAAGCAAGTAGTATCTTATAGACTCTGTAACCTATTCAAGATCTTTGTAATTTGNGGGTGGGTTGGAAAATGAAAAATTAGAATGGGCGATCGCTTGTTTATTACATATTCTTGTTTTCAATATTCAATTAGATTTGGGAGAAGTGTTGCGTCTGATTAATTATTCAGCTTAGTTTTTCAGGATGTCTTGTATATTGAACAAACTGGAAAAGCTAACAATATTTATGGTGCTCTTCTTTGTTTTTGTCCAGATCATGTTATTGTTAACTTTGCAAGAAGCGGAGGTCCTGGAGGTCAAAATGTCAATAAAGGTCTGGTGCAGCTTCTTTCAGAAGATAAAATTGCCTTCTATATTTTCATTTTCTTCTTTTATTCAAGGAGTTTCTATCTTTACAGTAAATACCAAGGTGGATATGCGGTTTAATGTAAAAAATGCTTATTGGTTAAGTGACAGAGTCAGAGAGAAGATTTTGCAAATGGTGAGCTAACACCTGTCTTTCACTGTCTATGCTTTCTCTATAGATATGACGTGGTGGTTTTGATCGGGTAGAATCTCAGTTTTCATTCCAGCTAGCTATTTGAATTAGCACTAGAATGTTAAAGTCTGTTTCTTGGTTCTTCCTAATTTACATCGCTTGCAACTTGCAAGAAGGGTTTGTGATATTGAGAGAGAGAGAGAGCAATTCAGCTCTTTGTTAATTACTGAACGCATATGGGGTATCTTTTTGAAGTAACTGGCTCATCTCTCTTGATAGTTACATGATGGTTGGAAGGGACACCTTTCCACTGTTTTCTTTTCATAAATATATGGCTTCAGAGGCTATAGAATGGTGGCAATAATTCTTCATCGGATGCTATTAACGTTTCTGCACTGATTCTAGATCCATAATTAGGTGATAAAAGTATACCGATTAATGATGCTTATTATAAGTGTATCTGATTACTGCACTTGCTATATTGCTAATCACTCTTGACTGTTCTTTGATCATGTACATTAGCAAATTTATGGGCTACTGGGGCAATATTTCTTTGGTTCTATTGGAAAGACTATCTAGTGAAAATGTCATTTTGCTTCTTGTCGTGCGTAATTTATTGCTGTTCACATATAATTATTGTGATCTAATATATTGCAACTCACATAACACTATTGCTAAGTTTTTAATATTCTAAACAGGAAAAGAATCGGATAAATAAGGACGGAGAGCTTGTGATCTCTTCAACAAAGACGAGAACTCAGAAGTTAGACTCTTCCCTATATCTATATATATATATTTTTAAATGTTTGCTTCGTCAAGGCCACAGAGTTGATTGTGTGTTATGATTATATTCAGGGGTAACATTGAAGATGCTTTGAGTAAATTACAGGTACTCATAAGGAACATTCTATGTAAGACTGTTCCCACTTTCTATCAATTGGAATGGTAGAAGTCTATCCTTGAGGGTCAGATGATGTTTCAGTGAGTAGAGTTAATCCTCAGTATACAGTTCTATTATGAATTACTCAGTAAGCTCAATATCACAGGCTATAATAGATGCTGCTTCTTATGTACCTCCGCCTCCATCTGAAGAGCAAGTGAAAAGAATAGCAAAATTGTAAGTGTTGTCAAACCAACCTACGTTACACACGTATTATTTACCAAATTCTTGATTGCAAACTTGTATTTTTCTGGAATGACCAAGCTCCTTTCCTTATACAAACAGGGCTGCTATTGGAGAGCGCAAACGGCTTGACAATAAGAAGGCTCAATCACAAAAGAAGGCTATGCGAAGAAGCAAAGACAGTTGGGACTGATTCCAAGAGTTTGCGATTGGCATGCCCGATTCTTGTCCAACATAGGCATTGGTTCTTCTATCAAATTCTCCCGGTGCTTTGATCATGTCCTTTGTCCTATTTCTATACGATACCAAAATGGTTTAAGGAATTAGTATAAAATCCATCTCTGTAGGTCCTATGAAAGCTTCTTGATATGACTATACAGCTAAAAGAATCTAGACTTTGTCGACCAGCCTAAGCTTTAGCTGAGAGGATTACTGAAAGCCTTATCTTGAACTTCCTTTCCTTTCTGAAGATGCTGATATTAGATAGATAGTTGACAAAAGAAGAATAAGGTGGCCACACGTCTTTCTTTATGTACTCGGTTCTCATGTATGGATGGATACATTTCACATAATTTTGTACGAAACACTCCTATTTGGGACAATGAACCAGATTCCAATTTTTAAAATCTGAAACGAGGGAATATTTTGGCCATCGATCCTCATTCTGATATATGTCATAATTTTTTTTTCATAAGAGCAAATAGGCATGATGATAGTAATAAAAATCAACTCGGATTTGGTAATTTGGAGTATTGTTCTAGACTAGGTGATATTTCAGAAACAACAAAAGAGTATCCAACTCTACCGAACACTACCATTATTGTACAAGCATTTAATGCTATTTGCCTTTCTCGAAGACCAGGAGAAGTAACGGAAATGAGGTCAGAAATTATGATTTCTGATCAATTCTGTCTATTTGTGTAACAACTATGAAAGGCAAAGTGCTATTTCATCCAAATATTTCTGACCATATATACAACTTTCGTCAACAAGATAAGCACCAGCATATATCAAAATTGCCAAAACCGAGACCGTCTAATTTTTTGTATCATCTATATACAGAACGAACCCAAAATAAAAGTAAGAAAATAATTAAACAAGAGAATAGGTAAGGAAAAAAACAAATGACAACCAAAAAAAAAAGAATTTTCCATCTCCTAAACGTCATCACTTGCGTATAACAAACTCCTCTCCTGATTCTCTATCAAAATGTCTAATCCATCGACTTTGATTCTTCTCGGAACCACCCTTTCCACCGCCGCTGACGGTGGCTCCAACATGAGCAATATCCAAACCTTTCCCCACCGGCAGAAAAACCGACCGTACAATTCTTGATTTTCCGTCTAGTACACTCCGCCACCGGAAATCAGATTCAACTCTTGAACTTGCATTCTTACATATCAAAACTGCTCCCCTATGACCCAACTTCGCCACCCTCAAAATTCTACAAAAATCATTTCTCCTACAATCCACCACCAAAAAATCAATCCCCATTAACCCTTCCATTGCTTCTTCCGGTTCTCTGACCACAACTTCCGGCGACATTCCGGCATGTTCCATGGCTTGAATATACTCTATTCTTGAATCTTCGTCAGGTACTAAGCAAATATGTCTGCCACGTGTAACATGACTAGCAACTGCTAAACCTATACTTGTTGCCATAATCCCACCTCTTGACCATGTTTCTACAATCATTTGTGCGTCCCAACCTGCTGCCATCGCTGATATCAACTCTGCTACGCTCGATTCTTTAAATATTTCACACTGTATAATAATCATTTAAATCAAGAACATCAATAACCTATTAATCTAAAAAGAAACTTTCTAGGAAAAAAAGGAGTAAAATAATGGATACTTACGGATTTAACAGTATCAATATAAGCTTTAGATGCTTTTTCTGGAGACCAAACCAACTTCATATCTCTCTTTTGGTTTCTCTAAATGGGGCGTTCTGAAATTTGTTGTGGGTGTAAATGGGGTTTTTGTAGTTGGTAAATCTTGGTGATCAAGTTGTGTTTTTCTTTGGGGAAAAGTTTTGAAATCTGAAATGGGAAATGAAGTATGTAATGACACGAGACTTATATATATGAGAGAGAAAGAGACGGAGAGAAAAGGAAGGTGAACGAAGCGAAGCGACCCTCTAGAAAGAGGGAATTAGGCTAAGAATAAAGGAAGAGGTCAATTTCAAAAGAGTTGACATTCGGCTCCATGCAATTCCAACGTGGTGGTATTAGCTTTTCTGTGGATTTTGCCCCTTTTTTCTGCTATTTTTCTCTTGTTTTGTATTTTGCCTTTTGACACCCCCTCCACAAATGTCCTGTCCTTCCACTAAATACAAGATTTATAAAATAAGTATAAACTGTTTTAAAGAATAGTATTACTAGTATAGTTTTAATATTGCTTGTTCCAGGTCAGCATATACGTATTTTAATATTTCTATCGAATATCTGATACCTCCCAAGATATCGCATAATCCTACTCAATTACAACAACAACAACAACTCATTTCGGGTCTGAGGAGGGTAGTATGTACGAAGACCTTACCTCTACCCCGGAAGATAGAAAGACTGTTTCCGAAAGACCCTCGTCATAATCCTACTCATTACAATTTATATAAATGACTTATGTTTATCCAAATATGAAAAATCATATTTGAGCAACTCACTCAAGTGTATATTGGATTTAAGTTATATACTATTACTGCAATTTAATCTAATATAACAGATAGCTACCCTAAAGAAATACATATTATTTTGAGTTAATATCAAGCAACTATAAAGAGATACATATTATTTTAAGTTAATAGTGTACAAAATTTATACACGTATAAGAGACTAATTAAACTTTTCATTTTACCCATTTTACCCTTAATGAGAAGTATTTATAACCACAAAAATATGATGCCCACATAACTTTTAGCCCTTAAGCTTTTAAGATCACAAGTTTCAAAAGACTATTTGTTTTCTTAAATTTCGTGCGGAGTCAAACTATCTCATTTAAATTGAAAAAGAAAAAGAGGGAGTATTATTAGGAAATGGTGTTGATACAACTAATTGTGATCCAGGATTTTTTTTTTTTTTTTTTCGTTCACACAAAAAGGAAAGAGAATGTTTGCCTAGAGTGGAAGGAAAAAAAAATCATGCTTATATCATAATAATGTACTGGGATGAGAAAAGGTATTTGGGGAGAGTGCCAAATTGAAGTTGTAGAAGCAAATGTGTATACGGAGACTGAAAAATAGAAACAACAAAATCTTTGTCTACTTATTATTAAATGCACTATTTAGGAGCAGACGTTATAAGAAATGGCACGATTTTTTTCGTAAAATGACAGCTCAATCTTTGCTTGTTCCCATTTAATGTTTTCCCCGTTGCTTAATTAATGCTCTTCTGCCTGAAACCAGCAGAAAAGAAAGAATACCAATTATATATATATATATATTCTCACAGGTGCCACCTGGGGAGGATAAGATATATGCAGTCTTACCCTTACTTGAAGCAGATAAAGTAATAATGTAATCAGAAATTTCATCAAGAGTATTCAAACTTTAAATAAATCAATAACTTTTTCTTTTGTCGATGAATGGTGTACCAATTTTTTAAAATCAAACCACACAACATTCAGCTAAATAATAAAAGAAGTTTTAATAGAACTATAATTTTATAAATCAAAATTAAAATAACAAAAAGACAACGTCAGAAATTTTACTAGTAAAAGTAAGAATAAAACCAAAGGAAAAAGAGAGTGAGGGAATTTGTAGTTTGTAGAGAACTTTTATTGAAGAATGTTTTATAGAACTTGACTTTTAAATTATAAAATATACTTAAGAAATAACTTTTAGTTAAAAAATTTCTTTAAGATTAGTTGTTTATTTTTACACAATTTAAGTTTTAAGAGTTATTTTATTAGAAAATTTTTTAGATTGAAAAAGAATCAAATAGACCACACATATTGGTGGTCTCCGTTTATTTTGGCAAATAAAATGGGCAGATTCTTAAACACGTAAATAATACGTCACTTTGAACACCCCGAACGGTTGGACTGTCTCACTCAATTATATTAAGGGTGTTCAAAATATAATATATAACTATATAAAATAGTATTTAACTTATATACACAATATAATTTTTCGATGAAGGGTGTGCGTTTGACCATCTTTGGCATAAGGTGGCTAAGCCACTAAGGTAAAGGTTATTTTCGGTAGACGCTCATGGCACATATAATCAAAGCAGTAAGAATGAAAATATTATAGTAAAAAATATATGAAAAGAAGAGTAATAACAACAAGATAGCAACAAAACCAATGCAAAAGTAACATTAGGTAGTAATAGTAAGATTACTTTTGTCCTTTTCATTTTTTTTTTTTTTTTTTTTTTTTTTTTTTGCATTGCGAGTCAAAGATAATTGAGATATATGTATATACGGCAAATATAATTCAAGTCAAACACAATGAATACATGCATAAGTCGTGGAAATTCTGGATCACCACTATACTTGTACTTGGGATAATACAAGGAGGATATAACCTTTTTCATCACATTTGCTAATTGTATAAGCCATCCTGTTGACTACTTAACCTATTTGATTTTAGTATTATAAGAAACAAAAAGTAAAAGAGAAAAAGAAAATAACACCGCGTACGTAGAATCAAAATTCTCAAATAGGATATGGCTGTTTTAATTAGTATTATTCTCTTTAAATATAGTACAAAATAAAGTATGACTTTGCCTTTGTCTTGGCAGACAATTGCGTTGACTTCAAATAGTATCTATTCATTCTTCATTGGACGGCTAGATTGCCACGTCATTGTACTTTCTCTTGTCCGTTGATTATACCGTACTTCAAGCTCAACATGTAAAATAAAAATCATTTAACGCATTTTTAATTCATCACTCTATTTTTTTACACTGCAAACTATTTCTTTTAAATATTCCTCTCTCAAACTTAAAATAGTAAATTATTCAAATTTGTTATTGTAATGGAGGGATGATTCCTCATTGGATGATTATCAAAGGCGGAACCTAACTTTGAAGTTTATGAATTTTGAATTTAACATTGAATTCATAACTCGTTTAATTACTAGGTTCGTAATTGAATATTTATATATGTTTCATTAATTTTTTAGTATGAATACAAAATTTAAGTAAAAGTTGATGAGTTCGACGGAATATGTAACTAATATTGAAGCTCCGCCCGGATGATAACTTAATTTACGCTCACAATGTCAACTTTAGTGAAAGTGAGAGGTTACGAGATATGAAGTCCACATCTTTTCTTTATGTATTAGGCTATTAGCTAAGGTTTTATAATTGATTATTTCAGTGGTTGTACGGAAAATATAATAGCTAAAGCTTATCCGCGTTATTTTAATTAATTCAGCAGATAATCACAAGTGTATATGAGTTACGAGTTTACACTCAACATATTTACCACATGGTCAAAGAGATAATCTCAATTTTTGTTTTTAAAGACAACTACTATATTTTTGTGTAGAAATCCAATCGATGTTTGTGTGTGTAGATAAGCTATTATATATGTACAACCACTTATCTTTTTTTTTTATTTTTTTATTTTTATAATCGTGGTGTTCGGATCGGCTTGCACGCACCTCGACTAATTTCATGGGATACCTGTCACCTTCCACAAGCAGCAGGTACCAGGTAGCTCTATCTAGTAAAGCTTGGATAGATGGAAAGAAATCACCTAGTATTTTTTGTCTCCCCTGGAATTTGAACCTGCACTTATGTTGTTTTACATACATATGATTTCATGACATATAATTAAGACCGATGTCAAATATTTCAGTTTTTGATACATTATATATGATTCTTTTCCTATAGTGAAACAAATTTCACGGCTGGCAATTATACAATGTGTTTATAAGCCTTGTTGCTAACGATATAACATGCTTTATATTTACTTAGTTAACATCTTATACATTAATCAACATAAAATGATTATACTTAATGAGTGTGGGAACTAGTTATGCGTCCATATATTTAGTTGTTGATTTAACTTCTCTCTAGTTGTTGCATATACGATCACTACTTTATAGCTTGTTTGGATGGTTATTACCCATTGTATCATATTGTATTGTTATTCCAAAATGAAATTTATTTTGGTTGTATCGTATTATTAAATGTATTGTTTCGGAACAACTAAAAGATCCATTTTATGAAACAACCGACTTAATGTAGTAGGATCGTTTCCTATTTTCTTTTCCAATATTATGCCCTTACTTATTACTCCATAGTTCTATTTTATCATTATTTTTTAATATAGTTCTATTTTATCATTATTTTTTAATTTTAACTCAAAATCTCCAACCTATTGACCTACTTTGTCTTCTTCCATCTTTTATAGAGTTGGTTTACCCCGTTCTTTTTATCCAAGTCTGTTCGATTCGTTGTCTTTTTCCATCGTTTTAATTTTTTCTTGTTGCTAATATTAGTTAACCTTTTTTTTTCTTTCAGTTTTTTACTCTTATTTCCAAGCTACGTAATTAATGATAAATTAGTAGAAAGATATTTTCTTAAATTATTTTTATGTGTAATTTTTGATAAATTTTATTTAAAATAATTTGTGATATTTTAGTGAATTTATCAGTTACAGTGCAATATGACACGGTATTAAAGTACAATATAATACAATACAATGCCTTATAAAAAGAAGGGTATATACAATGATCCAAACATAGTGATATATATATATATATATTAAGCTTGCGTCTATTGTTACAAAACAGACATAGACTTTAATTAGTCATTGGCACACTCTATACATTGGGATGAAACCCTTTCATATTGTGCCGTCCCAGACTAATCCCACTCGATCTTGTCGCTATGCGAAATTAATCATTAAAAATGAAAAATTCTTATAACATAATCCGTTGATGTGATTCTCAACACTTTTTAGGTAGGGGGTTGGTATATGGTCAGGGGAGGAGGGAGAATACGTCGTACGGGTTTGGTCGGATCCAATAATTTTGGTCCAAATCATGTATTTATTTTATAAAATTTATTGAATAAGTATAAGTTATTAATTTAGAATTCAGTAACCTAAAAAGATTAGAATCTCGAACCCTAATTTCAAATACTCGCTTCGCCTCCATATATGGTGAACTGATGGTGGCG